TTCCTACCCCTGCTACCTTGAGAATTCTAAGCATACGAATATAGGTTTCTTGATTTTGGCAGAGTGAACTATTTTATGACTGATCTGTAATTTCTCCAATTTATTTTAGACAATTTTTATTGTCATATTCGTTTGTAATTTTTTTACAATGTGTAATCTATTATTAATCTCATGTTATATATTCTTTTCAGACATATTTTTCTAAAATTCACTCTGTCTGCATCTTATATCTTTCACATTTCTATATTTGTCTACAATTTTTAGTTCACTATGTAAATGTTATTGATTTTCAATGAAGTTAATTATGAGTTTAAAAAGATGCTACTCATCATCATCTCTTAACTTTTACAAATATTAAAAATTACCTATGTACTGCTGAATACATACAGAAGAGTATAATACACACAGAATATTGAATGTCATTTCAAGGGATATCAACTATGTTACAGTAGAATTTTAAAATATGCATAGTAATAATTAAAATATCATGGAACTCAGTGGCAAAATGTTGACTGGCTTAAAATGGAAGACTGAAATAAATATATGCATTTATATTTGAAATATTTCTTAAAGTTCTACCCATATTTTCCTTTCCCTACTAGTTTTTCATTCCTTTAAAATATTTAAGTTATAGGCAGCAGAAAAATGTACATACATATATAAAGTATATACATATCAACATATAGATACATAAATGTGAGCATGCATATTTTTGTATTGAATTAAATAAAATATAGTTAAATATGTTCACTTATTTTCCATTTTTTACAATAGTTTGAACAATAAGCATGATGGTTTTCAGGTGTATATGAATAAATATAACACATGTGTATAGTGAGTATGTATATCTATTTGTTTGAAATGTGAATAAACAATAATAATTTAAATCACTTTTGAGGTTGTCTTTAGCCATGTCTCAGGTTTATATCAGTATTTTCCAACATAACACTAGAACAATGTAGGAATAGCGGTGTAGGGATACAAATGAATTTGTTAAAAAAATTAATTACCAGAGCTATGTATCAGTGTTACACAGTTTAAGATAATTCCTGATTAATTATTTTCAAATATTTTATAGCTAAATGTGAAAAGGAATGATATCTGTTAGCCCTCAAGGAAGGCAAAAGAGAAAAGAGGCAATAAGTAAATCTATTTACTTATTTTACTTATTAGACTGAGAACTACAACATTTGCACTTGAGGGCCAATTCACAAATACAATTACAAAATTTAGCAAATATTTATGACCTGATCTTTCGTATTTAGCCCTACCTACACTTGTTTCAGTGCATTAAATAACTATGGATAGTACTCTTGAGCCCAAGATCAAACATTTTAAAATGTCAAAGCAAATCCACTAAATATTCAAACAAAAGGTTTTTTATAGAGAATAATATTATTAAAAAAGAAAATATTGTTTTAATTTTATTATTTTGATTCAGAAGTTAACTTCATTCTAGGGTTTAGAAATAGACATATAGCATTTATTCAGTATTTCATGATACAAATGAATGACTGAATCTACAAGAAAATCATATCACTTTTTTTCTGTATTTTTTTAGGGAAAGATCTACAGGGTGTTCAGGGTCTCACTAGTAGATCAGACTAGTACTGTTTCTCCTGTTTACAGCTTCCCAAGTGCTGGGATTACAGGTACACACCACCACACCCAGTCTCACTTGCTATCTCATCTTGCACCTGGGGTGGAGCCAGCACAGCTGGCCTGGGAATCAAGCCCCAGCCCTCATACCTGCTTGCAAGAGCTTTAATCTGCTGAGCTATTTGGCTGGCCCCATATTACTTGTTATGAGTGAAATAACATAAGGAACAACAATATCAAATATTTACAAGTATGCTTCAGTTAAAATTCTATCACTCATACTTTACCTACCCAAATGCTTGCTTCCAATACTTTTTGAGTTTTTGTTACACAAATTAATTATTATAAAGTTTGAGAATAAGCATATTTAGTCATTTTCAAATGCCTTCGAGGGCTGGGGATATATTTTACTGGGAACAGTGCCTGTCTGGCAAGTGCTAGGTTCTCAGTTCGATTCCCAGTACAAAAGAAAAAAAAAAAAAGAAAGAAAACAGAAATAACGAGAAGAAAATACAGTATTATATATTAAAAAATAAAAACAGAAGAAAACAGCCAGGCATGTTGCACATGTCTGTTGTGAAAGCACTCAGGAAGCTGAGGCAGGAGGATCACTGTGACTAGCTTGGTCTACAGAGTGAGCTTAAGGCCAGTCTGAACTGCATAGTGAGATCCTGTCTCAAAAATAAATAAATAAATAAATAAATAAATAGATAAATAAATAAAATTTCAAAAAACAACTTAAGACTCAAATTCTTACAATATTATATTTTCCAAAATATGGAAATATACTCTGGTTAAAAAACTGGCTTCAAGTCAATTTATTCCACTGACCTTGAGTAACCAAATAACAATAAATTGTTTTTTCACAAGTATTAGTCATAATAATAAAGCCTAAGGTTCTTTAACCTTCAGAGAAACACTGTATGAAGCCATGTAATCAAGTACACTATCTTTCAGTCCAGGTACCTTAACATCAGCACTCTTATTGTCTTTGAAGTCTCAGGAAGACTAGAGAACTTGTAGCTTTTCTGAAACAAGCTTAAATTCACAGTTCTGGTAAGAGATCGTCCTACTCTAACACATGCTTCTTTATAAATAACCTCCAGCAAATGGCTTTTCCATTTCCCTGATTAGTCATCTTGGGAACCTCGAGACAGTACTTTGCTTTTCCCAAAGTGGCTATTAATTCCTCTGGCAAATGTCATCAAACTAAAGCTGTAAAGATTCTTCCAGTGGTCTAACCCCTTCAGGTGCACCATGAATACCTTGATCTAATTCTTCTTTTCTCCAGTTAAGACAGCTGTAAACCTAATTCCTATTTGAACAACTAATCCTCACAAGTTTTTCATATTATGACCTTTTAGTTTTCTACCAAAAATAAATGATTAATTTTTAAAAATATTAATATTGGTATGTCACTGTACTTTGGAAAATCCTTTGCCATTACATTTTGTGCTTTAAATAAAATAAAATTCCTACGATAGCAAACAATTCCAGGCATTATTTAGTCTTGATTATTTTCATATAATCACAGAACTCACCATCCCTAAATATCCATTACCTCACTGCCACTACAGTGACCCAAGACCTTCTTTCCTCTTTCCTCTCAACTCTAGCTGTTGTCCCTCCTTCTTCTCAGATTTAGGCCCAGCTGAAGTGTTTTCTCCTCAGACAAGTATTCCTCACCATCCATCTAAGTAGTGCTTCTCTATTACTCAGATTGTTATAGTCCTGACCTTATGTTGTGATTATATATTGAATTATTTATTGATTTATTGTCCATATATTCAAGAAAAATGGTGTCTCCAAATGTTAGTAACCTTTATTTATAGACTTTACATGTGCTATAGTTCTTGCATTGTTTATCAACAATAACTTTTTGTAGTTTTATAAGACTCAGTAGACCCCATAAATGGATTTCTTTACCGAACCTGTGATTTAATGTACCTGCTAAATTGATTAAATTGAGACTTAATGTACTGCTACTAACAAAATTTATTAATTTCCAAATATAATATGTATTTACCAGAAGAATAGAAGCAGAAGTCATGTATGTACTTCCCTGCTTTAAATCAGTGCACATGTATGACACATGGCAAATCCAAGCATCATATAAACATTGGCATATCTTTATCTTTGCAGATTCCATGACATGGAACTCAATATTGGATTTTTTATATACTATAGCATATTCTTATAAAAGTCCCAGATATGTTATTTACTAAATTTTTACTTTAGGTTTCAATTCTGAGTGTTCAGCATGCCCACAAGTTGAACAAAGTCATGGAATAGTAGTTCCCAAACTTTGTTGTAAATCAGTTACTTTGAGAGATTGTTTAGAAAGAGCCACCTCCTCAGGCCTCATCCCAGGGGACTCTCATTCAGTATATTTAGGATAGGGTCAGGCCACTATATTTTTAACAAGCTCCCCAAGGCCTTCTGATTCACACAGTCTTAGGAGACACAATCTTCTCTTAAGTTTCAATGCTAAAAATATTTAGCACTGAATTCTTGCTTCTTTAGCAAAACCTGGTGCTGTTTAGTAACCTTCGGACAAGTATAGTCTATTAATACGTCCTCAAAATATTTGGAGAGCTTATTTTGAAGTAGTCTGTCTGGTCACACTCTGCTCCATTTTCAGTGCCTTGAACAGGCCAAGCACCTTGCCAGCTCTGAGTCTTTGACCTCAATGTCCCTCTGCCTCTGAAGTTCATTCTACATTTTAGATGGCTGAGTCGTGGTCTGTTTTTTTCCACTACGTGGATGAAACCCTTCCTTATGAAAGTCTCAGAGTTCACAAATAAACTTAAATCCCACTAGATTTGATGGCTTTTTTGTCTTCTTGCCCTTAATTCTGCATCTCCAGTACACTGCTTGGCACAGTGCAGGCTTAGACATTATTGCTTATTTTCTCTTCCTTTGAAAGTGATATATTCAATCTTTTCATTTTCTCCTTTGTTCGTGATTTCATTGTACATTCGTAAATAAAAAAATGTATGTATTGTGTATACGCACCAACCCTCCATGAAGAATGCACTCATTACATTCTGCAAACATGCACTAACAAAAAATAAAAATACTTGAAAAACCGAACATTATCCTAGAGTCATTCGTGTTTAAGTCATTTTCCAAGTAAGAACAGCCAAAACCAAGATACATGAAAGCTTATCTTGTCAAGGCCAAGCCGATAATCAGTCCTTCATTAAATCCCAACATCCATAGATCAATTCCCTGCTATGAGTTGTTCTTCTACCCCAGACTATTGTTTAAAATCCTATATTTTTATTAATTTTGGTAAAACAATAGGGTAACTGGAGCGCAGCAAAGCAGCGCTGTGTGGTTTTCACGGCGACGGCAGGGCTGTGTGTGTGGTGCGTGAGCCGCGCTCGGTAGCTGATTACCTCCTCCCCATCGCAGGCATCTTGCCAGGTCATTTCCAGTCCCGAGAGGCAGAATAGCGACTGGAGGATGTTTGGCTACATTGGCCTTTTCTGTGGAATCGGAAAATTAAAGTGAGATCAGAGAGTAGTACAATAAAAACAAGACAACCTGATGTTAAAGGAAAAAAATCCATTACGTACTTCTAGACGGAGAAGAACATCTTGGATTTCAAGATGTATATAAGTATAGATGATGAGAATTTCATATATTTGTGACAATTATTATGATATAAACTAATGAAATAATTCAGAAAGGAAAATGGGTTTCAAAACTCGTAATAGAAAGCCTATGAAGTACCTTAAGTCAGCTGAAACCTGTGCTGTTTGTGAATTTTTCTCCACAAAGTCCTCAAGGAATAAAGATTACATAGCACAGGGGCAGGGACCTGTCAAGGGAGGATAAATAGGTCCCCACCTCAAGTCCTTTGGCAGCATCATCTTTGGGGACCTTTTACTTTAAGGAATAAAATTTCTGAAAGAAGATTCATTCTAAAGGTGAGTGAATTGCTAACCCTGCCTTTGAATTGTTCCTCCTCACACTCCTGCTTGTATCCAAGCTGAGGAACGGAAGCGTTAATCTTGGTACCCGACACCTGTAGGTTTTCCTTGAGGGAATAGGGATATCATACAGTGGTTTACAGCCATGTAGGTTGCTATCACTGAAATTTAATACACGCTTGTCTGACTCGTCATAGTCCTTGAGTGTACCTCACAAACCTGTTTTAGTTTATTTTTCTCTCCATACTTATCCTCTTGAAATTGATATGTAGATGAGTATAAGAACAAAGGTACTAGACAAAGTAGAAGCATCTTAAGGAAATTCCAAGATAAGGTCTTTGATGGTGAGAGCAGGCCAAAATTTCCTACTGTTTTCATCCGAAACTCCTCCCAAACTTTCACTTTTCTGCTGATTTATTAACATATGCTGCTGTTTCTGGTTTGTTTCTTTTTTTCTTTAATCAGGAATCAAACTCAGACCTTGGGCTTGCCAGGCACATCCTTGTGCCACTGAGCTACATTGCTGCATGATTTATTAATGTGTAATTCTTGAACTCCAGTTACTTTTTACATAGAAATATAAGTATTATTTCACTGTCTCTTCGAAGTGCAAAATCAGAATCTGCATTGAAAGTTTTATAAAATGTTAGTATATTTAAATTGATAGATTCTTACAAAGATTTTGCTGACAATACAGTTATTTTAAATATGAATATTTTGTAGTATATGACAAAATAGAATATTCTTATCAGCATTCCACTTAATAGGAATTTGTTTCAAATTTATATAGAGAGAACAAACTATATGAATTAATTTTATTGTGAAAGCGTTTGTTTTAGACAAAGATTTCAGGGCCAGCAACATAGCTCAGTGGACTAAGCACCTGCTTAGTCAAGAAAAGGGACCAGGGTTTAGTCCTCGGTACTGCATGCCATGCTAGCCTGCCCTGGGCACACTGAGCCAGCTACCCATTTGGGGCGTGGTGATGCACACCTGTAATCCCAGCACTGTGGAGACTGAGAGCAGGAGGATCACTATGAGTCTGAGCTGCATAGTGAAACCCTGAATCACATGCAGTAAAAAAAAGTTTATTTCATCAATTCAGTTTCTGAAATAAGCTCTAATAATGAATATTTGTTTTACATTGATCTCTTATAAGTGTCATTTTCTGATGGTTTTTCTAACCACTAATCAGTTCTGACAACCGCCTGGATCTGAAACCCTAGACACAATTTCAGAAGTTCTCCTGCATTTCCAGTGCTGCATGGTCACCTTTTACTTTGGATCACAGACCTCTTTTACATGCTTATAAAATCTTTAATGTAACTGCCCAGAAAAAAGTTTGTATATAGGTTCAAAGCACAGTTCTGTTGGTTTAAGCTATAGGACTTAGTTCTAGCTTAGATTTTTCTAGCTCTTAGGGCCTGTATCTTCAAAATGAAATTATGCTATAGAGGAATAAAGGACCATCCCATCTGCTAGTACATAATAAACAAAGGCTAGAAATGAAGATTCTGATGGCTGGCAGGGGCATGATGCACACAACTGTAAGAGTTGGAAACTGCATCCAGGTGAGGTCAGTGTATCTATCTAGCTCAGACTGTGTGTTAATACCCCTCTATGCAGGCAAAAACATAGACTCCTTTATAGCCCAATTTGAATAGGATTCTGAAGGTTCAGGAAATACCATGAGAAATGATTTAGGGATAAATATTTCTAAATAATTTGAAATTATCTTGTCCATTCTAATTTTGAGGTGTTAGAATTAAACTAGCAAAAAACATACTAAATATATGGATGCTGATGATAGATGGGCAGCCAGGCGGGTGGACAGGCAGGCCGGCAGGAAGACAGACAGGCAGAGAGACAGAGAAACACAATTTAAAGTTACCACTCTTACTTAAGCCACGGTCAGTCCATATCACCATTACCTATGCAGTCCAGAATCCAGCCCACGGTTCCGTCTCCACCACAGGCTAATACTCTAAAGTCCGGAACATCTCGGAAAAAATTTAACCTGAAAAATAAACATGTGATAGCATTATTGTCATTCTAACATGAAGACTTACTCAGTTTTTCCTCTTGGCATTTGTCCAGTGAACTATATATTATTTTACGAACACCATAAATTATTGCTGTGATATATTATATGGAACTCAAAGAAATTAGTAATGATTTTACCACAGTTGGCTTTTTAAAGGTACTTTGTAATCACATGTTCTAAATTCTATGGCTGTATTTTATATTCATAAACTCTAAAATGCAAGATATAAAATAATTAATAAATTATAAATTCATTTGATGTATTCTTCCAAAAGTGGTACGAGGGAAATATATATATATATATATATATATATATATATTTCCTTTAATAACTTCTATTAATAAAAATTTCTGCTTTAAATAATCATGCAATTACCAAATATACACTGTATTTAATGCTTTTATGCTTTCTTCACTACTGGAAGAAGTTAGGCTGCAAATGGGCCTCTAACAGATTATTTTGGCATTTTCCTCTGAATTGGACTCTGGATGCAGAAGCCATGCTTCATCTCATCTTTTTTTTTAAGATTAATTTTAGTGAGGAAGAAATAGCAGTGAGACAGTTTCAAAACAGGTGAGCAGGACCAGTTACAATAATTAGTACATTGTATGTTATTATGCAGACATGATATCTTGTCTAAACACTATTAATACAAATCTTTCTTCACATTGCACTAAGAGAAAGTAGCTGTATATCTATCCTATTTTGTATGTATAGATAAATATCTTTTTTCACTACAAAATGGTCCTTCATTTATATCCCCCTTTTTTGTTTAGTTTTGTCAGAGATGGGTGTTCCATTGCCATTCAAATATTGTAGGTGCTTGAATTTAGCAAAATAATCCAATATAGTCCAGTACTCCACAATAGTGGTCATCTCTTGACCCAGCCAACAGTGTCTGCCTTCAGGGCCACTCATGCTGAATTCTTGGGTCAACTGTGACAAGTCCTGTGCTCCTAGCGCCACTGATCAAAAGACAGATAACTGAGACACTTCCACTGCCACACTCGCTTCTCTTACTGCAAGAGAAACTGAACTAGAACAGAAACTGGGTCTCTTCTTTTCCTTCGCTTCAGAGGTCACCACTGGGAATAATGTGATATGCAACAAGCCAGTAATTTTTCTATACATTGTATTGTATTCATATATATTTGAGTAAACATAAAGAAAGCTTTGTTAGACATGCATTTTAACATTTTGAACATGACAGGGATCATGGTATAGCTACTATTCATTGGCCTATACATGTGGGGATATTTTAAACTTGAAATGTGTCTCAGAGACCTTTCTGTATTTGCGCATGTCATGGGCATAAGTAATGTGCCATTCAGGCCCGATCATGATTCAGTGTCACTGGATGACACCAGGAGACTTCAACATTACATAAATCATCTCTTACAGACTTTTCAAACATTCCTACTATTTCATGACTTCAAAAAGTACTGTAATTAACAATATTTGAAGCAAAATTCAGTGAACGTGTCTACATATTTGGGAGCTTCTCTAGAGAAAATATTCTGTGACTTCATTCTACCCCAGAATGCCTCCCACTGTGGGCTATGCAAGTCCCAATTTTCTTGAAACCTCAAAAGAGTTACTTTGAACAACTTGGTGAAAATTAGGTGACAATGAGAAAATAAGGAATTATTCTTGTAACATCTCAACTCCCTTTTCACTAGTGTGCTTGGGATATATTCATAGGTCTTCTGGACTTGTAGTATCTATTTTGCAAATAGCGTCTTTAACACCTTGCTCTTCTTTTCAGTTAAGCTATCTTTTGACACTATGTCATAAACACTTGACATATTACAAGTGATCTTTTGCATTGAAATTTATAGCATTTAAAATCTTTCCAAAGAAACACTAGCTATGTATAAATATGACAAATATATAAAAAGTAACTAAGATCCACCATCTCATAATAACCCCTATCATTTAAAGAAAGAAATTTCCATGTACTTTTTTTTTGTACAGCATAATGTGTGGATATTTTTTAGATATACCACAAATATTTTCTTCTACTCTGTTACCATTTTATTTGCATATAGGATGCATATTATAATAAATACCTATGCACCAATTGCCCCTGCACAAGGTGAAGTGTTTTCATTAAACTCTATACAATGTTGTGTTTATTTGCCACAGCACTGGTCTTCATTCCCAAAAGTGAACACTTCTGAACATATTCTGTGTGTGTGCTATCACCAACAAATTTTTTCTTTTTTCCACTTAGCAGTGGTACTAACACCCATCAGTGTTGAATCTGAAGTTCTTTCCATACATAACTGGTCTTTCCTTTCTACAGCTGTGTAAAATGTCAGTTATATAAACATGCTTTGAAAAATTCGTATCAATAGGCATTTGGATGGATTAGCATTATGTTCCTGAGAAAAATGCTTTCTTATGTCTACTTCTTAGTGACTTCAGCAGTGGCTTCTTCCTGAGTAAAAATATGTAATTATAAAAGACAATTCCAACATGTTTCTCAAAGAAGTTGCACAAATATACAAGGGAGCCACCTGATGGAGGTCATGCGCTCGATCTTGTCGCGTCACTCATCTAATTCTCATGTGCTCTTAGTGGTTTCTCTATTTTCTACTCTTGTTCATTGTGGTTAGTGAAAATTCTTCACTGGCTCTGACTTTAGTCGTTTATGGTTCGTCGTTTTAAAATATTTTTTTGCAAGTTGAAAAATTATCCTGTTACTGTCTTTAATGTGTATTTAGTAAATAAGATTTCAGCTTTTAACATGATAAAATGGATTACATTTTCACAAGTGTTGTACAAGGAAAGCTTCCCTACTCAGAGGACAGAAGAGGATCCCACGTAGTCTCTTAAAGTTATGGAATAATTTTTGATATATAATTCTTCTGGTTTTCTGTGGAATAAACTAGAGATGTCTGCATGCACTTTCCTAGTTCTTTCATTTCTTCCTTTCTCTTGGGCTCCATTACTTCTTCTTCTGTTCCTTCCTACCTCCCTGTTTCCTTCCTTCCTTTCTTTTGTTGTAGTACATCAATGTTCTGTACTTATTTTTAACCATTATTTATTGAACAATTCAGCTTCCACCACAGAAACTGAAGGTTATACAAATCTAATTTTATAAATGGGTACATTTATTCTTGTGTTTTCTTACTTAGCTTTGTTCATGTGTTTGCATTTCTGCTCCAATATCACAGTCTTGAATTACTAAAATGTTCTATTACGTTTCCATCTCATAGGATGCAGTGAATCATAGCTGTTAGTTTTTCTTTATTTTTATATACCTTTTAAAGTTATCATCTATAAAAATAAAAACAAAGAAAAATCAGTCATGATTTTGATTGAAATTGTACTAGACCCATCAATCAGCTTTGGTATAAATGATACCTGTATTATAAGCTTATCCATGAATACAGGATTGTTTATACCTGTAGATACTCATCTGCTTTTTTCAAAATTGTATATATGTTCTCTTCTCCTCTCCTCTCCTCTCTCCTCTCCTCTCCTCTCCTCTCCTCTCCTCTCCTCTCTTCTTCTCTTCTCTTCTCTTCTTTTCCTGGAGCTGAGGATCAAACTTGGGACCTTTACTTGCCAGGAAAGCACTTGTGCCACTGAGCTAGCTCCCTGGCCCAAATAAAATTTAAACATTCTGCTTAGAATGTTATGTGTACTTTGTTATATTCATTTGTGATTGTTTAATAATTTAATTCAATTATTTTTGAAATTATGCTTGTTAATATTACAGTTTTTTACAGAGTATTTAGGTTCTACTATGATATGCTGATTTAATAAATATTCACAGTACTCCTGTTTTTCTATTGCCTGCATTGTGTCTGTAGAAGTGTTTGGATTTGTATAGATTGAATCATGTGATAATAACAGTTATATCAGTGATGTCCAGTTTTTATAATTACCATGTCATATTCTATTTTGCTATCTTGGCCAGATTTTCAATTTATTATCATATGTGAAGGTTCATACAGACCATTTGGTATCTTGTTCCCGAATTTAAATGGAGTACTTCCAATATCAGCTTATTTAGGATGACATTTACTATAGAGAATTTCATGTTTTTGATTGTCACATTTTGTGAGGCTCCTAAAGTTCTCTTCTTCTATAAAATGATTTTTATTATCAAAAAATAATAATTTTCCACATCTTTTCAGACATTAATATTTCTGCTCTCATTCAGTTGTATTGAGGAAATATGGATTTATACAATTCCACTTTGGGAAACTATTCTTACATTCCTTCCATGTGGGCCAGGGAGATGGCTCAATGGAATAAGCACTTCCCTTGCAAGCACAAGGGTGTGAGTTCAATCCCCGGTTCCACCAAAAAAAAAAAAAAATCCTTCCATGTACTTAAATTGGGCAATCTTTACTAATGATTTTACAGACAATTAGATTTTGTTTACTAATGTTTTCCTTAGGAGTCCTGCAACTATATTCAGAACTACAATGGGACTTGATTTTTCTTCTTACTGCTTTGATTTTTTTTTAACTTTTAAAAATATTTATTTATTTGATACAGGGTCTCCTATGCAGCTTGAACTCATAGTGTTTCTCTTGTCTCAGCCTCCCTACCACTGGGATTACAGGTGTGTGCCACCACATCCCACCCTGGGGCTGGTGTGGCATGCGGTACTGTGAATGAACTCAGGTCCTTGTGCTTGCCAGTCAGGAGCTTAGACTACTGAGCTATCTTGTCAGCCTTATTTACATTTTATAATCACAATTATACTGCCTTACTGTAAGTTGCAGAATATCCCATCTTCTTTAGGAAAAATACAGTGTACTATTGTAAGGTTCTTTAAAAAAACTGAAAGCACTTGTATGAAAACTATCTAGTTGTTGTGAGTCTCTTTAAACAGAAAATTCTGAAATGATTATTTAAATTCCTTTAATAATTACTAAAAATAATTATGCTTTCTAATTCTAACAAGAACAGGTTTTTCCAGTTACATTTTTGTAGTAATTTGAATATTTCTG